TAACTTCAGATTGTTATTGTTTGCGGAAGCTACCATGAATAGGAATTCTCCGACATTGGATGGCGCTCCACTTAAGATTATACAATTCGAAGTAGTTACTTTCGTAGATGGCGAAACCAAACACCTCTTGCTGTCGCTTCTCATCGTCTCCTTTTAGTGGATCACTCCAGAGACCTCTTCTTATTTCGTGATTGTGGTCTAGCGTTTCGAAGGTGGTTTGTTAATGTTAGTGCTTAATCTTTACAATCTATTATTGGAAGACTGTGAGATGGGCGATCCTGCTTTTATGTTGTAACGGAAATCGAAACCAGCTTCGATCCTCGTTGTATTGCAAATTTCGATATTAGAACCATTTCACATCCTAAGCGATTGCTTTCTTTATTCAATGCATGGTCAAAGAATTCAAAATTTAGTTTGTCAAAAAAATGTTCGATGAGTATGTGGTTTTTACGATGGAAGCACCGCCAACGTCCCAACTTGAATTAAATTTACTTTTCCATTACATAACGTCATCTTTTGTTCTGCAAGGTGGAAGAGAGAATTCATCTATGAGCCTAAAATAGGCATGAATGATATGGAATAATTCATGGCATTTTTACCCTTTACACCAAATTAAGGCACTGAGTTCTATAATAATTAGAAATCTTATTGAAGATGGCGACAGTTTTGAGCGGGAAAACCCGTTAGTAAAAATTTACAACAAATCATGCATGCTAATCATTTAATGCGAAACGCTTAGTGGAGTGAGATGGTCTTTTCATTTGCACCCGATTTTTTGAATCCGATAACTGTTTAGGTTATTCCTTAATTGACCAATATTGATGCTTTGTAGGTTGCAGCTGCCTTGGACGCGCTTAATGCTGCCACTGAGCCCCCACAACCACGCCAAGCAACATCTGCAGCACCTGTGGCTGGTGGAGAGCACCCTCCACCAGGCTACGATGAAGCAGTGGGCATGGCAATCACTCGCTCCACCGGTGGCACTGAAACTGGTGCTGCAGCTCCGGTTCTTCCTCCACGCCGCACTGCTCCTGCCAACAACAATGCCGCAGCTGCTGAGTCTCTGAGCTTGGCTCAGCGCTACGGACTTCCGGTGGCCGAAATATAATCTGGCGAACGGGCGGAGGGTAAATGCATCGCATCGGTTCCTAGCCAATTCAAGCAAAGCGGAGCTCCTCACGTCGAATGCGCCATACTATTACCATCAATAATAATCAACTTAAAAATCATAATCGCTTTCCTTTGTCATCCCCTTTTTCGCTTTCACCTACATCGACTCTGCATGCATGCATTTTAGCTTTAGTAAACAATCAATGCAGTTATAGTCACCTTTCTCATCAACCTCCACTTTTTTAATCACATCTCTCTGCATGCTTACTTTCTTCGGTTTTAGCAGCTTTTTAGTCGAGCCTCATTAATGACAGTCATCAAGTGAACACTAATTGACAACTTTTTGCTCTCCATTTATGTGTGTGCTTCATCAGCTTTTAGCTCCATTTGTGCCATCAAATAAAATTTGCTCCTTACGTCATAAGATGACTTCTGTTATGTGTCCGTCGTCTGTTTCAATGTTTGCGTTTGATTTTCATTATCTAATATTTTTTTGCATCAAAAACAAACCACTTTCATTAACTTATGTGGTCTTATGGAACCGTCATCTTATAGTTTATGCTTGCGCTTTGTTGTAAATCAAAGGAGTTGTATATTCTGGGCGAATCTGTTGCCTTTGACGTGAAGTTAACATAGGCCATATTATTTGGGAAATCAGTTATGCACGTCATGGTTCACATGAATCATCCTCCTTCACTACGATTATATTCACTTTGCCGCACATCCTTGGAAATCCCAACTAACAATCCGAGATTAGGTCGAAGACTGTGCACACTGTGACACTCATTGATCACTTTAAAGTTAGCGTTGAGAATTGCATGATTGGTTGTGCCAATATTGCAATTGCCTTTCCGTATGAAAATAAAACTAATGTTGCTTGTTTCTCACAAGCTCTGCAAGAACTGAGACCATCCAAGAAGAGTTATTCGGGAGTAAAGCTCGGCACTGTTTGTCGAAATAGTGACGCTAAGCAACTTTTTTTTGTACTGGAGATTGCTAGTTGTAAAGACGCATCGCCCTCTTGCTTACTTGTATGCGCTAACTGCACGAGTGGAAATTTCCAGGACACACTGCCTGTGGGACTTGACCCGGCAAATCTAGAAGCATGAGTCACCGGCCATATTTTAACCGGTTCTGTGGTCTGACCACATCCACTCCCTCATTGCATTTTCCTACAGCTGCGGCCATGCTTCACCTGTGGCACTGGTTGCATCTGAAGCGAGGAGGGAATAGAGTTGTCACGATTAGTAAACTCAGACTGAAGGAGTAATATGAAAGATCGTCTACTTCCAATCGCCAGAGGATAAAAAGACTGTTTTCATTCATTTTATTCCTGAGAATGTTTTTTGAAGGCTGGTTGCAATCTATGCTTGAGCAAAACTAGAAATCGTAATTTGTCAATGGAAAGAATAATGTCGTGAGATAAAAGCCATGCAACTTTTTAAGATGGTCTTCTGTCGTCTTTAGAGCCCATCCAACTACTAATTGCAAACAGC